ATGCCCCTCCCGACACATTCCCGTGCCATCCCGCTCCCGACACCGCCATCCCGCTCCATCCCGCCGACAGCCGCCATCCCGCTCCCCGACACCGCCATCCCTCCCACACCGCCATCCGCTCCCGACACGCGCCATCCGCTCTCGCACCGCCATTCCCGCTCCCGACACCGCCATCCCGCTCCCGGCTCTCCCGCTCCCGACACCGCCATCCGCCTCCCGCCACCGCTTCCCGCCCGACACCGCCATCCCGCTCCTGACACCGCCATCCCGCTTCCCGACACCGCCATCCCGCTCCATCCGCTACACCGCCATCCCGCTCCCGACACCGCCATCCCGCATCCCGCTCCCGACACCGCCATCCCGCTCCCGACACCGCCATCCCGCTCCGACACCCATCCCGCTCACCGCTTCACCGCTTCCCGACCACCGCCCCCGCTCCGACACCGACCACCCCGCTCCCGACACCGCCACCCCGACTCCCGACACCGCTCAATCCGCTCCCGACGAACCGCCATCCGCTCCCGCTCCCACGCCTCCCACCTCGCTCTCAGGCGGCCGCCATCCCCGCTTCCGACGCCGCCACGACACCGCCATCCCGCTCCCGGCACCGCCATCCCGCTCCCGACACCGCCATCCCGCCCGACACGCCATCCCGCTCCGACACGCCACGACACCGCCATCCCGCCCCCGACACCGACCTCCGCTCCCGACACCGCCATCCCGCTCCCGACACCCCTCGATCCCGCTCCCGACTCATCACCGCCATCCGCTCCCGACACCGCCATCCCGCTCCCGACACCGCCATCCCGCTCCCGAACAACTCCGCACATTCACACGCCATCCCGCTCCCGACACCGCCATCCCGCTCCCGGACACGCCACCCCGCTCCCGACACCGCTCCCGACACCGCCACCGACACCGACTCCCGCTCCCGACACCGCCACCCCGCTCCGACACCGCACATCTCCCGACACCGCTCCGCTCCCGACACCGCCATCCCGCTACCGACACCGCCATCCCGCTCCCGACACCGCCATCCCGCTCCCGACGCCGCCATCTCCCGCTTCCGACGCCGCCATCCCGCTCCCGACACCGCCATCCCGCTCCCGACACCGCCACCCCCCTTCCAACGTCCCGCTGACACCCGGCAGCACTCTCGCTGTCACCATTCCCGCTGACATCACCGCTGACATCATTCATTCCCGGTGAAGGAAGGTCGCTGACGTGAGATTTTTTTTTTTCTCCTCTATTTCTCTTCTCTTCTTTCTTAATGTCACTCTATCCTTCAAATTTTCCCTCGTTCTCTCTATTCTTCCTCTCTCTCTCTCTCTCTCATCCCTCCCGACACCGCCATCCCGCTCCCGACACCGCATCCGCTCCCGACCACCGCCATCCGCTCCCGACACCGCCACCCCGCTCCCGACACCGCCCCACCCCGCCTCCCGACACCGCCACCGCTCCCGACACCCCCACCCCCCTTCCAACGTCCCGCTGACACCCGGCAGCACTCTCGCTGTCACCATTCCCGCTGACATCACCGCTGACATCATTCATTCCCGGTGAAGGAAGGTCGCTGACGTGAGATTTTTTTTCTCCTCTATTTCTCTTCTCTTCTTTCTTAATGTCACTCTATCCTTCAAATTTTCCCTCGTTCTCTCTATTCTTCCTCTCTCTCTCTCTCTCTCATCCCTCCCGACACACCGCTCCACCCGCCATCGCCGCCTCCCGACCCGCCATCCCGCTCCCGACACGCCATCCGCTCCCGACCGCCATCCCGCTCCCGACACCGCCATCCCGCTCCGACACCGCCACCATCCGACACCGCCATCCCGCTCCCGTCGCGCGACCGCCATCCCGCTCCCGAACACCGCCCATCACGCTCCGACACCCCATTCCCGCTCCCGACACCGCATCCCGCTCCCGACATCTCCGCACCCCCTTCCCGACACCGACCGCCATCCGCTCCCGACACCGCCATCCCGCTCCGACACCGCCATCCCGCTCGCGCATCCCGCTCCGACACCGCCATCCCGCTCCCGACACCGCCATCCCGCTCCCGACACCGCCATCCCGCTCCCGACACCGCGCCATCCCGCCGACACCGCCACCCCCCTTCCAACGTCCCGCTGACACCCGGCAGCACTCTCGCTGTCACCATTCCCGCTGACATCACCGCTGACATCATTCATTCCCGGTGAAGGAAGGTCGCTGACGTGAGATTTTTTTTTTCTCCTCTATTTCTCTTCTCTTCTTTCTTAATGTCACTCTATCCTTCAAATTTTCCCTCGTTTCTCTCTATTCTTCTCCTCTCTCTCTCTCTCTCTCATCCCTCACCCGCTCCCGCTCCCCCACCGACACCGCCATCCCGCTCCCGACCCGACACCGGGCGACCCGCCATCCCGCTCCCGACACCGCCATCCCCGCTCCCGACACCGCCATCCCGCTCCCGACATCCCCGCCCGACCCGCTCCCGACACCGCCATCCCGCTCACCGCCACAC